ACTTTTCTCAGAGTAGTTCCAGGTGAATATGAGAAATCAGTGCGACATACGCACTTTCTCACTTCTTCCGGGACCGCGGACTATGACAAATCCGCAAAGACACCCGTTTTCTCACGAATTCAGGACAGCTGCTAGGGCAAGAGGCTCCCACCATTCGGTGCAAGGGCACAGGGAAAACTTGCTTAACCGTGAACCAAAACCCAGTGGGAAGACGCGTTCACGCAAGAAAACCTGGCCAGGAACGTTGCCGTAGGCCCGGCGCGACAGACGCGTCCGGGACCTTCTGTTCACCGTCAGCACAGACCTGCGGCCACACCGCTGGTCGTGCGGCAGAGGCGAGTGCAGCTCAGCAGCGAAGGACCGGGCGCAGCTCGGGGACAGACCCAAACTGGCCTGCTGTGGCTCGGGTACTCGATCGTCGCTGTGGTCTTCTAGTGCAGCGTCCTGTAGGGTCACGCGGTGGGCACCGCGTTGATAGCGCGGCGAGGCGCAATAGGACGCAGAACTCTCCGACTCAGCCACAGCAAGAGAAACTAGTATCTCCTACACTTTCTCAGAAGCAAAGCAGTTTCGCGGGCAAGACGATCCCACCATTTGGTGCAAGGGCACAGGGAAAACTTGCGACATGTGAACCAAAACCCAGTGGGAAAAACCGTTCACGCAAGAAAACCTGGCCAGGAGCGTTGCCGAGAGCCCGGCGCGACACACGCGTCAGGCCTGAGGGTCACCGCCAGCACAGACCTGCGGACACACCGCTGGTCGTGCTGCAGCAGGTGCAGCTCGACAACGACATAGTGCAGGGCGCAGCACGGGTACAAACCCAGCTGGCCAGCTGCAGCGCGGACACTCGGACGTCGCAGTGGTCTCCTAGTGCAGGGCTCGCCAGGGTCGCGGGGTGAGGGACGCGTTGCCGGCGCGGTGAAGCGCAGCGCGGCACCCTCCGACTCGGACTGCACTAGAACAAAACTCAGGAAAACCAACGAGTAAACCTCGAATCGAAACAACCAACATTTCTCAGATACGATTGGGCAACAAACGCAGGATGGAGCAGTTTCTCATACCAACATCAATCCTGAAAACAAGCGATTAATAAACTGCTCACTTTCCTGTGTTACCCAAACGCGACACTCAGACACACGTGCACCAAATCCACAAACTCGGAAACACATGAGCACTGTAGTGGCGCACACCCACGCATCAGCCCGTCAGCTGCAGAGAGTCGTCCCTGCATCAGCCCTGGTTCAGGCTGCAAGGAGACTCAACTGCATCAGCCGACCTGGGCTGCGAGAGGGCGCCACTCGGACGAGAACACCATCATGCACTTTCACGACAAGCAGCGGCTGGTGGGGGAGTGGCTCCGACAGCGTATCAGCTGGTCCACGCTGAACTGGGTTCGACCCCCGTCTGCGTTTGCTCAGATCCAGGACCTGGTGGAGCGGTGATTCGAATACTGGCGACCCGAGCGAAAACTTAGATTGCACTTGGGTTCACACCCAACACTTCAGCTCGGCGACAAACGCAACGAGCGGTTACTTTCAGTAACTAGAGACAGCGAGACAGAGCCGGACGAACGCAGACAGTGGAGGTGGGGCGGACAGACCGCGGCACCAATAGCCTCGATGCATGTGTTACTTGCACATGTCCTTCCCCTCCTCTCTCAGAAAAGTGGCCGGACGGGAACGAGACAGTCCTGCCCATCTTCGTGTCGACGAGTTGCGCATGAGCAGGGTCCTATTGGCAGGACTCGAACCGCGTCTGTTAAGTTGATTTCACTGCAAATCTTGAAAAAGGCGCGTCTGCTTGCACTCTTAGTTCAGTGTGGGTGCGGGCGGGGAACGAACCTCCGCTACCGCTGCAATCTTTGCTAAGTTTTCGCTCTCTGGTCTTCTCTACTCTATTTGATGAATCATCTGAAAAACAACCCGCACTCACGCATCAGCCTGCGGCCGCAGGGAGACGAACTCACCCGCGTCAGCCGCATCAGGCTGCGAGAGGCGGAGCC